CACCACTAAAGTTAACCATCAACCCAGACCATGCCTGCTTTTCAATGCAGATTTAGATCTCTGTGCATCCCCTGAGCCCAGGGCTAGGAAGTGGCTAAAGTAACAAGAGCTCTGGGGCTTTGCTTGTTTTGTCAAATCAGCACAGAGCACTTAGAAGTTTAGGTAGGTATCTGCTAGAAAGACAATTATACCAAGCTATGCTTTGTATTAGAAACCAGTGAAAATCTGGCTTTGTCTAGTGTGCTTCTAATTAGAGATGTAGAGATCATCTTTATGTAATTACATGGGTTTCCGTAGACATACAATGGCCTTCAAGTTTGAATACAGATTTTTTTAATGTCCTTAAAAAGAATCTGTAATTATGGCAGGCCCTACCATATTTGAATGCATTATTCATCCATAAGTTTCAGTCAGATAGAGCAAATATGCAAACTGGAGGARAAGAACAAGAAAATTACATAAATCCTTATAATTATATTAAAAATCTCTCTCTGCAGATGTTTAAATGTTGGAGTTTTGCCTCCTGCATTATTAGGCAAAGATCCAATTTCCATAAAATTTCAAAGGACTGTGTCACAATCTGCCACTCTGGAGAAACAGCATCTTGAATGCAAATTGAAGATGCATCTTTGGTTTCCGTTGCTTATTTCCCTTTGGGAATTCATGCAAAGGCAGCTGTAGATAACATGTAATAATTTCTACCAGGAAATAACCAACACAAGGCAAAGCTCTTGCTCTGACTCAGCTTTTGCTCTGTGGGGCTTTCCATGAAACACACTGCAACAGCTCAGGCTGAGGAGCCCAGAAATGGTGAAGACTGTTGGTTTTTGAGTCACCACTAAAATCGTTAAGAAATCCAGCATGGAGCATCCTTTCCCCACAGGGCCCACCTCTTTCCTTTTCCATACCCCAAACTACTTAAAAATGCCCCCAGCCAAACTCTCCTGTGGCAGAAGCTGCAGCAGGGACTGATGTTGTGGCTGGTGGCACATTTCTTCCAAGCGTCTCCAAAGGTTGGGCCAAGCTGGTTTAGTTTTGGAGTCTCCAGTGATTCTTAGGCTGCTCTTCCCAGTTCCTGGGAAGCTCCCATGCAAAAACAGCAAGTCAGGAGAGGAGAGACCTCCTCTTGCCATGGGTGATCTTCTGTGGTTCAGCACTGGTGGAAGCAGTGTCCTGGGGTTATTGCACTCCCAGGAACTGGGGATTTCTCCTAAAGGTTGCCAGGGCTGTGAAGAGTTAGCAGCTGACGGTGGGAAATGGGATGCTTGTAWTTCATAGCTCCCATCCTGTGTGCTCTGCTCCTGCCTGACCCACAGCTGCCATCTCCTCGCCGCCAGCCCAGGGGGGTTGCAGGGAGCTCCAGTAATGTCCAGTCTGTCCCTCCAGGCAAGTACTTCTGGAGACTGACTCGCAATAAGCACTTGGTCTCCCTCCAGCCGGCCCAGATCCACCGGTTTTGGCGGGGTTTGCCTCTGAATTTGGACAGCGTGGATGCCGTCTATGAGAGAACCAGCGACCACAAGATTGTGTTCTTCAAAGGTGAGAGAAAACACGGGGAGGGGGTATCCCATTCCACTAGCGATGGGTCTTCCTGATTTATAGTTCCGTGCTAAGGTTGGACTTAGTGTCATTCCCAGGTGGTCCGTGAGCTCTATGGTGCCAGGCTGCACAAAATGGGAAGGGAAGGGCRGGCAAAAAACAGCAGCGAGATTCCACAAAAAATGAGGCAAACTTCATTTAAGAAAATCTTCAGAAAAAGCTTATTGAGATCTTTGCTTTTCAAGAACAAAATGCAAGAAGCCACCCTGCCTCTCCTCTTTCAGGATTTGTTTTCTTCCCTGCTTGCCTTTTTCTTTCTTTTTAATATTTGTGGCTGAGGAGAAAGGAAGCCACAAAGCAGACAAAAATGAAAACTTGGAGAGTAATGCCTTACTCGTTGTATTTCTGTTGTAACTTTCTACTTAAAATAAATGCTATAATCCTCTTATTTAAATTTCCTTCTGAAAAGCTGGGAAAGAAAGATTAGTTCCTAAAGAAGTGTCCTGCCAGCATCTTTCACATGCTGCGGTGTCCCCTGAAGTTGTTTGGGTCTCCCTTTCCCAGGGGCACAGCTGCCTATGGACAGGTGGACGGATGGACAGATGGATTTCATGCAGCTTTGGTCCAACAGTGCTTGTGTGTGACACAGGTGCCACAATTACAGCTGTGCCACAGCTGGGGACGTGCTCCTGCAATAGTCACCTGCCTCAAACACAGCCATCTATAGCCCCACGCAGCCTTTTAGTTAGTGCTGCCTAACTTGTAAAATTACATTAGAGATTTTCTTTCCAGCCATCAGATACCATCTCGTTCTCTCTTTCCGCTGCTATTTCATTGATCCCTGGATGGAAACCAGAGCACAGCAATTCCCCTGCTGCTGCCACGTGGGCAGCCTCTTGTAGCTGAAGTGCCTCTTCACATTGTCAAGGAAATTGAGAGAGGAAAAACCTGATCCTTAAAGTAGGTTGGGTGATACACGACAGGGCACCGCRGAGCTGCTCCCTTGTCTCAGCTTCCACAAGAGGGGTCTTAGAAATACTGACCCTGCAGTAAGAGATTTAAGTTGGAATGGAGAGATTGGGGTTTATTTTCCTGTCCAGCCACAGAYTGTGGGCTCTGGGCTGTGTGACTCTGGGCAAGTCATTCAGTGCTTCGTTTTTAGCTGAAAAGTACGCATTTATTGGCAGTGCTGTCCTGCCCAGGTGCAGTGCAGCATCCAGGAGCCATCACACCAMCACAGCCATCAGCAATGTGGGGCTGTGCTCTGGGGAGAGGCTGACCCAAAAAAGCAGCTATTGGAGAGATTCCCCACCCGGCTGCTGCCTCGCACTCCTTGTGCTTCAGTGCCCAGAGCTCAGCCTCGAGCGCTGCCACAGCCGCCCAGAGCAAGACCTGGGCTTGGCTGGGCTCAGCTGTGAAACGAATGTGATTTTTGCCACGTGCCTCTTTCCTTTCCCCAGGAGACAGATACTGGGTGTTCAAAGACAACAACGTGGAGGAAGGATATCCCCGRCCCATCTCGGACTTCGGGCTGCCCCCGGGAGGAATCGACGCTGCTTTTTCCTGGCCCCACAATGACAAGACTTATTTCTTTAAGGACAATCTCTACTGGCGCTACGATGACCACGAGCGGCGGATGGATCCTGGATATCCTTCAGAGATAGCTTTGTGGAAGGGAATTCCCAGCCCTTTGGATGATGCCATGAGATGGTCAGATGGTGAGTCCTTATGCTGATTTTTGAGAGTTTTTAAGAAATGAAAAAACAGCACCGTTTGCATTTAGAACATAGACCCTTCTGGTCCTTCCTGTGTGTATATGAACCGCTAAATCCCAGGTGTGCAGACACTTTTATTTGTCTTATAGAGAGTTGAAAAAGAGAGCTAGACTGAGTCAAAGCTCCTTGTGCTGCTCTATGCTCACCAAAAGACACTTAAGTTCAGGTAGACAACAAAAATATCTCGGGGTCCTAATAAGTGGGTTTTATTTAAAGAATAGARTTCATCTTTCTTTTTCTTTCATTTTTCTTATCCTAATGTATGCTGCTTTGATCTTCGCTGTATTTGTTGTAATTGGATTTTCTGCTAGATAAACGAAAATGTGGACAAAAATATTTTAAAGGAAAYACTTTGCCCAGAATTAGGACTACTGGGACTTATTTTCCAGGGATTAGATTTCCTAGTGGTTTCTGCTCCCTGAAAAAATGGAAATTTTGTTATGGGAGATGTTTAAAGCCAGAGGGATCCYAGGGAGGAGATTATCACAATCTTCTAGAGGATCCTACCACCACCACTGCACTAACAGAGGCAAAAAGTGGTGGTACTGCACACACCTCTGCTCCTTGTGTTTTGGCTGGAGGTGCCCAAGCTCCTTCACTGCTGCAGGCTCTTCCATGTGTTTTGCACCGGACGGCTGCCCACCTCCACTGACCTCCCCTTGGGCTTCTGTTTCTTTTCCCAGGCGCAAGCTACTTCTTCAGGGGCAAGGAATACTGGAAGGTGCTGGACAGCGGGATGGAGGCCGAGGCCGGCTACCCGCAGTCCATCGCTAGGGACTGGCTGGTGTGCAGCGACATGCAGGCGGACTCCCCGGAGGCCGCGGGGAGCAGCAGGACCGGGGCGCGCGCCAAGCCCGGCCACCACGACGAGAGCCGCTCCGAGAACGCCTACGAGGTCTGTTCCTGCACCTCGGCCTCCGACTCCCTCCAGCCTTGCCCTGTGCTCAGACTCTCAGCCGGCCTYATGCTGACGAGCGTGTGGACAGCAGCGCTGGTGTGCGTGGCCCTATGACGGCTCCTCACGCCGGCGGGACATCGTCACGGTGCTTTCGGGGACGGCAGGTGGATAAAGTCCCACGATGCTGCGCTGTTGCAAGCAGACAGAAACATTCCTAGGAACATACCAGAAAAGGTTGTGAATTCTCCATGAGAAGTGAACAGTGGATTTTTTTTTTTCTTTTTAATTTTAGTTTAAAGGTCTAATAACAGATTTTGAGTTCTGCACCTTTTTATTCCCCCATCCAGGTAAAGATGAGAGCAGCCTATAATGTTGAATTTAGAAATGTTCCATGCAGATGTGTTGCTTTGAATGTGTTAAAACTGCAAACAGGGGAGGGGAAAGCTACTGAGAACGAATGAGAACAGAACAGCTCCCATAAGACGGGGACAAAAGGCAGCAGGGCTAGGGCGGAGGTGCAGTAGCTGCGCTGACATTTGATGACACGGTGTACACATCCTATTGGATGTACAAGGTAGAGAGAAACTTTGGCTCCACTAAGATTAACTGCAAGGTGATCATTTTACTATCAAATCTGCTGTGGTAACTGATGTTGAGATAACGTGTATCAGTTCCTATGGGTCAGAAACACCTTTGCCTTTCAGAAGGCAGTGCAGCTTATCTTTGTATCCAAGTCATTTGAATTTAAGAGTTTATCAAATAAACCTTGGCTGCCTACACACAGATCTCACAGTCATCTGCCCCGTCAAGTCTGCCACCTTCTGCAGGTGCTGACAACGCAGGCTCAGGAGCTGCTGTCCCTCTCTGCAAGCAGCAAACTGGGTACAGCCATGCAAACAAGACGCAGATGGAGCCACCCMGCTGGTCTCACCCCTGCACATGAACTTCTCAGCTCTTGGAGTTTCCATTGCAGGTTGTTCTGTGTTTTAGGTGGAGATGAATCTCATCCATTCTTGACTCTGATGTGCCTGGTTATCCTGTGGAAGATGGGACAGAGTGGGTGAGGGATGCTGCACAGTTAGCCTGAAACTCTTCTTGAAACATAGCCAAAAGGTAGAGTGACAGAAGATCACTACAGGAACACTCCTGGCCATTTTCTATTCCATTTCCTGAGATATAATTTGGGTGTCTAATTGTCTTTGGGAGGAGTGGGATCCTGTGGAAAGATCCATGATAGAGCTCTTCCACAGGCCAAACTACTGTCTTGGGGTGTCAAACGGGAGCAATGGGCAGCAGCTCTGGCACACACTGTTCCTCTCTGCCTGAGTTCCTTAAGCTCCCACCATGGCTCTTCACTGCCTCTCTGTGCCAGACCCTGGGGGAGACCAGGCAGTGGTGGGACACTGGTTGTTACACTGTTTTGAGCCCTAAGGATGCTCCGCTCTGCTAGAACGGAGCGAGATCCTGCCTGTCCAGCTGCAGGGAAGACCTGTGGTTACCTGCTRGAGAGCAAGGCCAAGGGCTGCCCCACAGACAGTGCTATCCAGGCACTGCTGCCCAAACTCAGCGAGTTAAAGCTGGCTGGGGATGATTCCTAATGCTGCCATCCCACCCCTGCCTCCAGGGCTGAGACCCAGGGAGCTGGGGGATGTGATGGGTGATGTGGTTGCCCATGCACACAGATGTCCACTGCTCAAAGGCTGTTGCAATCACCTCACTGCTGGTGGCTGGAGAAGGTTGGGCTTGGACACGAGCAGGTTGCCGAGCCGGGCAAGCACCTCCCTGCTCTCTGAGCTCCCTGTGGCCGCTCGGAGCATGTGGGGAAACTCCCAGTCCCTTCCATCCCCTCTGGCTGGTGGGCAGGAAGGACTTGGGGATGACTCTTAGGGTAAAGCCAAGGCACAAATCACCACACAAAGCTGGCATATGTARGCTTAGTGCTCAGAGGACCTACTTGAGCTTTGGTGGGTTTTCTCCTAAAGCGTGGCCCTGTTTGTTTCTTTGCTGGGCTGGGGGAGAGGGGCTGCAGTGGGGAGGGGGCTGCACTGCTGCCACGCTGCCTGGGAAGCACGAGCAGCCGCCACCGCTGCTCCGGCACCCSAATGTGCAGGGTGGGCATTTGCCTGCATCTTGCGCTGGGGACACGGAGGCTGAGCCCCCCGAGCCGTGCGGCACAGCCCCTGTGTGACAGGTCTGCGCTGGGACCCTGTCCTGGAGCTGGCCGAGGCTGCAGCACCCGCGCGCGGGCCGCGCTGGCGTTCCCGGCGCTGCCGCGCGAGGACAGCAGAGACGGCGGCTCTGCCGCGGCCTCCGGAGCCTGTCCCCGCTGGCAGCAGGGCTGCAGCATCTGCGAGCGGCTCGCAGCACAACCCGTGAGCGTGGCCTCTGCACGCCCAAACATCACGGATGCTCCGCGGCCGCGCTCCCTGGCACCGACCCGGACAAGAATTCCCCTGGCCCTACCCAGCATTGCTCTATGAGCTTTTCTCCACAATGCTATTTTTAGTATTAATTGAAAAAGCCAAACCAAACCAGCCCCACCTCAAAAAAAGCCTCGAGCATTATATTCATATTGCATGAAGTGCCTTTACTCTGCAGATTGAGTCTGGCTGTTTTCCAAGCGTTTCCGTTCTCCCAGAACTTTGTGAGGTTATTTCAAACACTTATCCTTTGGAATATGACGATGAGATTTTAAAGCGGGGGGGGGGGGGGAGCTTTGGCCAACTGAATCCATACCTATTTAAAGGTGAAAAAGCTCAGCTTATGGCAGCCGTGCCTGTGGCCAGTTCCCATACTTTGGCTGGGGTTTTCCTGGCTTTCCCAACTCACCCATCCCCAGGCTCAGACAGCCAGTGAGGCCCTTCCTGTTTTATTGCTAGAAAGAAACACAGAAGGAAAAACAAGAAGAGACCGCTCAGCCCATAATTCAAAGGGCTTTTCTAAAATGCAGACTTGTGATTTATTAGCAATGAGATTCTTCACCTTTTCCCAAGGTGAAGAATTCTTTTAATAAGAAAAGTCCGATGCACAGCTGGGCTGGAGGAGCCAGGGGCAGGGAATAGCCCCGTGGCTCAGGTGCAGCTCATCTGCAAGGTACAAGTTTGGGCTCCTAGGTGGAGCGACCCTTTCTTTACAGAGCATGGTTGGAAGCAAGCAAGTCCCTGAGTGTTCCTAGTGCCTTGGGATTCCCCCCCATCCTAGGGATGTCTCACCCAAGGAAAGGTGAATGATTCCCCGCTCTCCACGATCCAGCAGCTTCTGGTAAGCTCTGTGCTGGGGGTTACTTGCTTTTCCTTGATGTTTCTGAGCCAGAAGCAAGGAGCACCTGGCAGAGGATGCGTCTTTTAGAGGGATCTGGGCTAAGAAGATGAGCGAGTGTTAAAGCTGGATGGTAGGATGGGGGATTCCTACAGGGATGTGCTCAGGCTGTAAACTGGGAAGCACAAAGCTGTGCCTACCTCTTCTGCGGCAGAAGCGATTAATAGCCTTGTGGTACTAATAAAATTACTGCGAGAGCTGCAGGAGCAATTTCCTGCTCTCCTTCTCATCCTAGAACAGTTGGCTGGATTTCTTTATCCTGCCAGCACTAGGTTGCCAGCTCTGTAGTTTTATCCGAGCAGTTTGGGCTTTGTGCTCAGTGAGCACAGTGAGAAGGACCTGTCATTTTCAACGGCTTTGAGGCTGACTGCACCCTCAAAACAGGCAAAAAGTGAGACCTCGTTTCAGAGGTTTGGGGATTCTCCCTGGGCCAGCAGCCTGCCTGTTCAGAGCCGCTTTCAGCAAGCACGGCTTGGCAGGGGGAGTAGTTGACATGAATCTTTAACCAGGAGACCCAGTTTATTGCAGCAGAGACAAAACTTTTCAATTTTTTTGCAAAGAGTTCCTTGAAAATACATGGGTTGTGCTGCTTGGAGTGTAGTGCCTCGTCTTTGGGATTCGTATGAGGAACTACACGTGCTGGAGAGAGGCCTTTCTACTCACATCCAACGAACCAAACTGAAGTGCTCTGCAGCTGGAAACCTTGTGAGCAAAAAAGACTCATGTTTGGTATAAGACCTTGAGTGTGCTCTTGTCCTCCCTAAAATCTCCTCTCGTTCTGAGGGACAACTGGTGACTGCAGAAACCTCTCTGGTTACATGGCAGCTTGGTGATATCTCCTTCTCTTGAAGGAGGAAGCCAGTCTGAAGAAACCAGTGCTTATTCTGGATCTGTGATGAGTTATGTGTGGAGAGGAAAAAATAACTACAGTGCTGAGTGGTCTTCATGTGGAGATTTGCTGGTTATTATCTGTCTTCAAGCACCAAACCCACTTGCCATCCTGCAGATCCTCTGCTCCTGGTACCCCTCTCTCCTTGTCCAAGCTGACTTAGCTGGCAGCTATCGGCAGCGCCAGAGCACCCGGGTGTCAGCAAGGAGAGCGCTGTGGGATGTGTTTGCTTGCTGTGGAGTTGCCAGGTAAGGGAGCAACCCTGACCGATGAGTGCCTGCTGTGATGAAACCAAGGCTGCACCTTGAAACCCTGCCTTGGAACAGAGCTCCTGGGGAGGGGTTTCCACGCAAGCAGCGGTAACTCTTTGTCCCAGTTAATTGCTTTGCTGTGCTAGAACTCATCTGAAACGTCATCACTGTGTTCAAGTCAGGCTCTGGCTACTGGATGCACGGAAGTGAAAGGCTTGGTGTTTTACAGAGGTTACATACTTTAACCTTTCCTCTTTCTGTGTTGTGTTCACCTGCCCTTTCTCCTTGTTTGCTGCCGTGAAGCTCTAATCCTCATTGCAGATGCACAGGTCAGACTGGACTCAATTTTTTTTTGGAGAGAAATCCCAGAGCTCTCTAAGCTCTGGTGGTTGAGTGATTTGTACCTCTGCTGCTGCTCCTCTGCTCACAGTACCAGTAACTACTACCTATTGTAGAATCACAGAATCATTATGATTGGAAAAGACTTTCAAGACCATCAAGTTCAACCGTAAACTCTTCAACAACTTACCTGTTAAACCRTGTCCCAAAGTGCTTCATCTACATGTTTCTTGAACACTGCCAGGGACGGTGACTCCAGCCCCTTCACCAACTTCATCGTCCTTCTTTGGACAGGCTTCAGCACCTCAATGCCTTTCTTGTAGTGAGGGGCCCAAAACCGAGCATGATATTTGAGGTTTGGCTTCATCAGGGCTGAGTACAGGGGAATGATCACTTCCCTGGTCCTGCTGGCTATACTATTTCCTTAAGCAAATCAACTCTGCTTCCCAGCTTGGTGTCATCTGCAAATTTGCTGAGGGTGCACTCAACCCCCTCATCTAGATCATTGATAAAGATATTGAAGAGGACCTACCCCAACACTGATCCCTGGGGAACACTGCTCATGTCTGGTCGCCAGCTGGATTTAACTCCATTCATCACCACTCTGTGGGCCTGCCATCCAGTCAGGTTTTTCACCCAGCAAAGAGTATGTCCGTCTAGGCCAGCTTCTCCAGAAGACAGTGGGAGACTGTGTCAAAAGCCTTACTGAAGTCTAAGTAGGGCATGTTCACAGCCTTTCGCTCATCCACTAGGCAGGTCTCCTGGTTGTAGAAAGAGATCAGGTTGCTGAGGCAGGACCTGCCTTTGATAAACCCACATGGGCTGGGCCTGATTGCCTGGTTGTCGCACATGCTGTGAGATTGCTCTCAAAATGATCTGCTCCATAACTTTCCTATGGAGGCTGGGCTGACAGGCC